ACTTTTGGAAAGTGAATGTATTAGATCCCTCCATTATATTTACAGAAATTAAATAATGAAGAATCTGCACAAATGTATATATGTTTCTCGCCCTGTGTAAAACCAACGGTACCTAGAAGCATTAAATTCTGAATAACGCAGTCCTCCACCCGGTTATGGGCATCCGAAAGCCCAAATTTGTATTTTGTTTTATTATTGATTTCATATTTTGTAAAACTTTAACTACTCTTTTATTAACAAACTCAACGATTTCAAAGCCTGCAATGGCAATACTGTACGAAAAAAAAAAAAAAAAAACATTTTTATCTCCAGCGCGCGAGACTGTGTATCGAAAGTTCTAAAGATATGCTGCATTTAAATATTTTGAGATAATGCTGTTGAATTGAATTTTATGGTTAAGTGCCATGGAACATGATATTTAATAAGGTAACACACAATAGGTTAAAAAAACCTCCTTTGGGCGTAATTTAAAAGCTGAAAGCCACCAGTTTTTTTTTATTTATTTATTGAAAAAAACTCTATTTAAGAAAAAAAAATCATTTTATAGACTCTATTTTATAGCGTTTATAAACTGTAATTTATATCCTGTCCAGTTCTGACCAAGTTATTAATTAAGCTAATATCTTTCCCTTTTCCTTCAGCAATAAAAACTCTCCAACATTTAATTGAGTTTACTTCCTCTTCAACCAATTAAATTATCCAGATAAAGAATTATGCAATTAAGTTTTTCTTAGAATGCTTGATGGCTCGTAGCTTCGTTAGTCTTTTGTACCCGTTATGCAAGTCTAGACTACGTCTTAAAAATTTACGAATATACAGTACTTATCTACAGTGAAGAACAATTTTCGTGTAAAAATACTCGCCAATTACGTTTATCAAACGTCAGTTTCTTTTAGTCGTAGCTTTTAACTGGTATTTTAAATGCATAAAACGGTTGGAATTTTAGGTAACTGTCTTCAGAATTATTTGCTGTGTTTTGGAGAATTATTTGCTGTGTTCCCCCCCCCCCCCCGTTGTGCATTTTTTAAAGGGTTTCCAATGTTCGTCAAAGTTGGATTCAAATTTAATTTGATTCTTAGATTTATTATACGATTTAACGATAATATTAAATAAAAATTTGTTACAAATATTTTAGATATATATTTTTTAATATATTAGATATATAAAATATATATATCTAAAATCCTTTTATATATTTAGTATATTTTTAGATATATAAAAATTTTATATATTTTAGATATATATTCTATCTTAAATCCTTTTATATATTTAGTATATTTTTAGCTCTATATATATCTATTATATCTATTATTAGATATGTAAAAATATTTAATCTATTTTCTCTATATAATTATATCTCTAAATCCTTTATCTCTTTATCTTCTTTTCTTCTTTTTTTTCTTTTTTTAGCTATATTTTTTAGATATGTATATAAATAATTTTAGTGAAATTATAAGTGAAAATATAGTAAATTTTTTTCAATAGGGTAACACGAAAATCTTAAGAAGCGAAGCTTTGTCAGAAAAGTAAGAAAACAGGGGCGATTCCATTTAACATTGAGTAAATCGCTAGCTGGCTGAGATGGTGAAATATCGCCAAAATGGCGATGGTTTGGGCGACATTTTATCGCCAAATTGGGTGCAAAATTGCCAAACCTAGCCAAGCTTGGCAATCATTTGGCGACATTTAATCCGGTCTTTATATAACTGCAATGGGTATTGTAACTGAATAACTGTAATTGATGCTATATGCAGCTGTAACCGTATCTGGCACTCATATGCCTTCCAGTAATTTCGAGAAGGTACTAAAACTCTCTTGGCGGCCAGGACAAAACTATATAAGACCGGGATAGCACCAGTTTCTCAGTAGTTTTTTTTTAGTGTAGCGTGAGTTCGGAGTATTGAGATATTTCCGTGTGTGCTTCGCTCTTTAGATATGCTTTGCATTGCTTTGTATTTAACGTTCTTTGTATTTTGAAATGTGATTGCTGATTGGGCTCTGTGATACTGTGAAGAGCTGTACGAGTGTTTTTGTGGAAGGTTCCAGATGTATGATGTTTTCCTTTTGGTAAAATAAATTTTATCGAGATATCGTGAATTATGTGTGCATTCAGTCTATAACGAAGGCGTGCAACAATATATTTATAAATATTACAACGAGAACAGTTACATAAATCACGCATAGAAGTTCAGGAACACAGACATAGGAACAGCATGAAATTTTCATACTTTTCACTGAATGCAAAGTGAGCGCGAGCCTTTTTCCTAGAATTGCTTTCGAATACATACATGTTTAATACAAAAACTCTCGCATGCTTTCTTACAATAAATTACTAATTATGTAATAAACATCTTTACTACGACAAAGTCTTCTAGTGCTATCTACACTAGCATACTTTATTTTTGGCAATTTTAAAAAAGTTTGTTTAGTTTTGGCAATTTTCCGCCAAATTTGGCGATAAAATGTCGCCTTAAACCATCGCCACTTTGGCGATATCTCGCCAACTCAGCCAACTAGCCATTTACTCAATGTTAAATAGTCTCGCCCCTGTTTTCTTACTTTTCTGACAAAGCTTCGCTTCTTTAGATTTTCATATTACCCTATTAAAAAAAATTTGCTACAGTTCCACGTATAATTTCACTAAAATTATTTATATATATCTAAAAATATATATCTAGAAATATATATCTAAAAAATATATATCTAAATAATATACTAAAAGTAGAAAAGGATTTTTAAATATATATATATATATTTATATATCTAAAATATATTAAACATTTTTATCTATATAAAATATATATATCTAAATAATATCTACAGTAGCATTCGCCATCTATCTGCCTAAGAGGAGAGATGCCTTCATGGACAGCTTTCTAAGGAAAACTGTTGGTACACGTTGCCCATGGAGAAAGCCATGAAAATGCCCATGTAGTCAGCCCGTTTGCAGGAGTTCGAACCCCGGACCGAACTACCAGTGTTCAGCGACTTTACCATTCCGCTCTGTCTTAGGAAATAACAACTGAGTTAGAAGGAAATACAAATAATCCTTTAATCGAACATTTTTAACGTAACTGATGCATGGCTTGTGCTCACAGTTTAAATTTCCGCAACTTGTAAGGATTTACGATGCACAAATGTGAACTTAAAATTCAAAGTAATTTGTTGTTGGAGATTTACAATTGCAAAAGCCTAACAAGCGTTGGCTGAGTTTTAAGTAAATCGGACTAACGTCGGAGTCGCAGAGATTGGCCAGAAATTAGAGCTACGGTCAGAACCGCTGCCAAACCTCTCTGCCTAAATTATCAAGGTCATAGCTTCTCATTTAAGACTTAGATTCGACGGCAACGATTACTTTAGGCTAACTTCCTGCGTATTAAATTATTAATTATATAAGTTTCAGTTTATTTAAGGTTATCGCACATTGTCTGTTGCCTCCTAAAAGCAACTTGATTTCAATTTTAGTTGCACTCTAAGATGTAGATAGGGAAAAATTTTATTTTAATTATTATCTAAATTAGCTTGCATTAAATTAGTATAATGGATAAACAATTAAAAAGACGGTACGTCTAGGCCAGAACCTCTCAAATGCCACAGGTGATTAAAGTAATGTGTAAATAGATAACTAAGCTTCTGGCCCAATTTTGAGTTTAGTTTGTCTCGCACCCCATGGGTAGTTTGAGGATTTCCCGTCTCTCTTTTTCTACCATCCACCTCTCGAAAGGATTTTCGACTCGCCATCTATTTTAAGTGCCCTCTTGCCGCACAGACACTATATTTTTACGCGCAGCCACATCTACTCAAAAATTCGAGCCCGGCCATCAGTATGACAGTCAGCGTAACTAACCAGTAGTCAACGTAACTAATCATTAGTCAGCGTAACTATACCGGCTGGTTCAAAGATGTAGAGGCTATATATATATTAACTATGGCAGGCTGTTAAGAATAACAGTTAAGCAGTTATGGGAAATCTAAGCCAAATTATTAGTGCCAATTTCAATTACAGTTTTATTAAAATAGATTAAAGTAATTAAATTAATTAATTTTAATTAAAATAGATTAAATTAATTTTATTAAAATAGATTTAATTAAAGTAGAATTAATTTATATTTCGAATCGAGCTTACTATTTACTGACTTATAGAATAATATTTTTATAACTAACTTATGAATTCTCTTGTCAGTTTCTCACCTTCTTCTCTCTCAGTTTCTTTTCAATAAAAATGTGTAGAGGCGTTAGGTATTTTTTGAAAACAAGGGAAGTGAAAAATTAGCAACGCCTTCTTGGCCGGGAATCGAACCACGGACCTCTGGAATACGCGCCCAGCGTGCAGACCACCACACCACTAAGGCATGCAAGGAAGGGGGCAGAAATACCTTATAACTGGATCAAGTAATATTACACTTATTGTTTTGTTTATCATGAAGAATTTCTAAAACATGTTCTTTACCAGTAAGAAAACCGCCTGCTTTTAGTCTTCTGTAACTGTAACGATTTTTCTTTGATTGGAAATAAAAAAATTTCCAATCAAAGAAATCAAGAAAAATCAATTCCCTCATCATTTGCAGAAAAGTGTTCTGATCACAAATCGAACCCATTTACTTTACTGAGTTTTTTTTTTTTTTTTTTTTCCCAGAAGTTGCAGTGTTCATATCTCGTCTGGTACAATTATAACAAGATTAATGCATCAAGAAAGGCACATAGTTGTTTTAATAGGAGATAAATTGTCTAAACACAGTTAACATTTACTAAAATTTAAAACAAATGGAAGCCAAAATAAATCATAATATTCTGATAAAGAGCATTGTAGCACTTTTATGTCTCATATTTTCTGAAACATTTTTGGGTATATATGCAAATATGTATGTAGTTGCATGTTGCCACAGACTTACTCTTAATGATGTCGTATATTCTAGCCTTTCAGTCTTTTAAATTTTCTTATTGATCGTGAAGTTCAGCAATGTAGTTAAAAAAAAACTAAATGTAAATTTTTGTTGCAGATTATCAAACTTCAAATAAAGAACATAGAAAAAAAGATGTGGTAAAGAAAAAAAAAATGTTTTGCTTATTGTGATCCATTTTCAAATTTTTGAGAAGTTTCTACTATGTAACCAAAATGTGAGTCCTGATTGCTGTTCAGTTGTTTAGTTCAAACTCATCACTGTTGCATATCCAAGTGTGAAGGAAATAGGACTTTATACCTCGAAATAAAAACTGTGTATATGTTACCAAGACTTGAAGACAGCAGCTAAAAATGATATATCCTGGAAAACCCAAGATGGGAAACGTCCGAGAACTGCATATATCATAATAGCATCTAGCCTGTAAGTTATTAGCAAGTGTATGTATCCTGTAAAGTAAACATCTCATTAATAATTGTTATTTCTGCTATTATTGTATTGTTTTATCTATTTATTGTTATTTTATTTATTAATTATAATATTGTTATTAATAATTATTATTTTTAATAATTCTTATTCAGCAATAAGTCCCTTTATGTCACTAAGTAAACACTTTCTTTCCTTTCATTTATGCACAATGAGTCTAAAACTGTTTTATGACTAAGTTCATACATAATAGCAATTGAAAAGACAACATTATTACCTTTTAGTTTTCTATCCACAGCTCTTCATTTATTTATACAACATTTCGCCCTTTCATAGAGTTAGTTTGATTTCTTCGTAGAACTTATGTTTCGGAACACAGTTAAAGTCTCTGGTTACGATTTTCTGAATAAAAGGATGGTTAAAAACTGTCACACTTTGTGCGGAAAATTTCTTGAGAGCAGTAGAATTTTTTAATGGCACACTGCAGTGCAGCATACACTAGTTATTGACAGAATGGCATACTGTCGTACAGCAGACATCAGTTATTGATAGGATTGTATAATGGCAAACTCTGGTGCAGCAAACACCAGTTAGAATTCTGCAATGGAACAATGTAGTGGAGAAGCCACAATTTATTGACAGAACTGTGTAATGGCACATTGTAGATACACTCTAGTGCAGCATACACCAGTCATTGACAGAATTATGTAATGGAACACTGTAGCAACAGACGCCAGTTACTGATACATTTGTGTAATGGCACACTCCAGTGCAGCATGCACTAATTATTGACAGAACTGTGTAATAACACACTGTTGTGCAGCAGACACCAATTATTAATAGGACTGTGTAATGGCAAACTCTGGTGCAGCGGACACCAGTTAGAGTTACGTAATCGTACAATGTAGTGGAGAAGTCACAATTTATTGACGGAACTGTGTAATGGCACACTGTAGATGCACTCTAGTGCAGCATACACGAGTTATTGACAGAATTGTGTAATGGCACACTGTAGTGCAGCAGATACCAGTCATTAAGAGAACTGTGTAATGGTACAATGTAGTGCAGCAGACCCCAGTTATTAACAGAAGCGTGAAATGGGACACTGTAGATACACTTTGGTGCAGCAGACACCAGTTATTGATAGAAACGTGTAATGGCACACTTTAATGCAGCAGATACCAGTTAAGGGCTGTCCCACTGGGGTTTATCTGAGCTAATGAACACAACTGACGTATCCAACCCATCTCCAAAACCAGTTTTTTTCCATAGGGCACAAGTTGAAAAATCTGAAGTGCAGTCATAGTGGAACTAGTCGACACACGGAACTGACTCCGTTAGCTCAGATAAACCCCAGTGAGAACGGCCCCTTAGATTACCAACGTAGCAGACACCATCTATTTATTGACAGAAATGTGTAATGGTTCAGCGTAGTGCAGCAGACACCAGTCACTGATAGAACTGTGTAATGGCGCACTGCAGTGCATCAGACACCAGTTATCGGTAGACTTGTGTACTAACACACTATAGAGCAGCAGACACCAGCTATTGACTGAGCTTTCCAGGCCTAACGAGCTGATGGTGTGGTGTATTTAATTATGGCAAAGCACACGAGGGCTATCTGCCTAAGGGGAAGGGATGCCTTCGTGGAGGACTTTCTAAGGGAAACTGGCTCGTATACACGTTACACATGGGGAAAACCACGAAAACACCCATGCAGCCAGCCCGTTCGCGGGATTCGAACCTCGGACTGAACTAGCAGTGTTCAGCGACTTTACCGCTCGGCCGCTGGTGGGCCTCCTAACGAGCTGAATTCTCTTCAGTATGTGAACAATATCCTTATAAATTATGGTGTTCACGGTTTGTCAGTCAAAACCATTACTTGGGAATTGTCTCTTTCCAATCAAAGATGTCATCAACATGTTTCTTTACTTGAGATTTCTGAAACAGACGGTGGTAGATTTTGACCAACCCAAGCTGATGACAACCGTTTTGTTTTAGAATCATAAACAAAACCAAGTTCTACCACCAGCCAAAGTTTGTTTGAAAGCAACAGCATCGATTCCCGCTTTACAGCAAATTTTTATTGTCACTGTTTGCTCAGGCTTCGTATCGATAACAGCATCAGCAGAAGTTTACAGAATTAAAACAAAAGATTAACTGCACAGGGAAATTCTGCTTGTAAGCCCAAATTTTTAGAAAAAGCAATGAAGATTTCATAGTAATAAATGCTGTCAATTACTGTTGCATAAATTTGAGGGAATTTATGAACAAAATTAGTCCAAAAACCTTTTACACTCACTGTATACCTAACAAGGAAGCTTTGAAATAAGACATTAAATTTGGGAGCGTAGCTGTTGTCTTTCTTGATTGCTGTTCATCATTCATTTCCATAAGTAATCTTACGCTCATTGACAATTGCCTTAAAAGGTACCTCCTTGGTACAGAAATTCACATTTTATATGTGTAATGGATGAAGATGACTATTTCCAAATTAGTTATAAACTCATTACATCCAAACAATAAATATCCTTTTAATGTTTATTGAAAAATTAAAGACTTTTTTACAATTTTCAACCAGCAGAGAAATAAAACATGAATGAAATATTAACACTATTATTTCCATAGAACATTTTTTTCAGCAACAGAACTGAATATCCAGCTGTGAGGGAAGTGTATAAAATACAATACCCATTTTATTCGTTTAAACTTTATGAAATAAAATTTCACGCCAGCTTTAAGAAAACGTACGGACGTATTCTCACGGGTAACATTTAACATTCAAAACAATCAAAACACGAAACCAGCATCCTTTTAATGAGTTTCTGGTAATTCAGTTTTAAAATTATGAACATCAGTTTCAGGCACGATCGTAAGCATTTATAAAAGTGTGCAGATACACTATTTCGCTTTTCATAACATGTTACCTACTTCAACAGTAACCTTTTTGAGTGACTTCTGTGAGTTGACATGAAATCTAGCAATCGCTCGAAATATGCTTTTACTGAAAAAAGAACAATACGTGTTTTATCCTTGTTAGCCCAGAAGAGCTATTAATCTCGAAACGGCATTGTGCGTCGAATCACTAAAAGCGTTGAATCGCTTTTCAGATTGTTGTTACCAAATATTGTCACTTGTATTATATTTAAAGAAATTAAATAATGAAGAATCTGCATCAATGTGTGTATGTTTCTCCAATTGTGAAAAACAACAACGATAGCTAGAGTCATCATAATTTGAATAATGTAATCTTCCACCCGAACATGGGCACCTGGAAGCCCGAATTCGGAATATGGAATTTATTTTATTATCGATTTTATATTTCGTAAAACGTTAACGAATTTTTGATTAAAAAAATCAACGATTTCAGAGCGAAGAATGGCAACACTGTAGAAAATAAAATATTCTTACCTCCAACGCGCTAGACTGTTTATCGGACATTCAAAAGTTGTGCTGCTTTTAAATATTTTTAACGCAAAGGGGCATTAGCCCAAATGCTTTCGCAACGTATATGTGTGTGTAAATGAAAAAGCCTCCGTTTGGGGGTGATATAAAATCTGAAAGCTTTCAGATTTTGGGGGAGGGATGTTTCTTGCGTAATTATTTATTTTTATTTTTATGTATCACCGAGCCTCCCTCCCCCCCCCATTACTATATATTAGAGATGCGTTCTGTGTTTCTGGAAATTTGTTAATTGCATTTAAACATCCTCTAGTTAAATTTTTCCTAATTAGTCCAAAGGGATTTGAGTCCCGAAGGACTATTACTTTCGTTTTGGCCATTTTGCGTAGGACTCCTATAAATGTCAGTTCACTTTTCGAACTGTTGCCACAAAATGTTAGAGTCCTGCATTATATTTGAAGAAATTAAATAATGAAAAATCTGCATAAATGTATGTATATTTCTCGTATTGCGATAAAACAACGGTACATAGAGCCAGAGAATTTTGAATGAGGTAACCGTACTGCGAATATGGGCCTGTGGAAGACCACATTTGAAATTTGGAATTTGTTTTGTTATCGGTTTCATATTTCGCAAACTTTTAACGAATTTTTGAGTAACAAACTCAACGATTTCAAAGCAAGCAATGGCAACACTCTACGGGGGGAAAAAAAAAACTTTTTATCTCTAGCGCGTCGAACTGTGTATCGGAAATTCTAAAGATAGGCTTATTTTTAAATTATTTTGCGACACTTCTATTGAACTAAATTTTATGGTTTAAGTGCAAAGAACATGATATTTAATAAATAAAGGTAACACACAAAACGGTAAAAAAACGCCTCTTTGGATGTAATTTAAAATCTGAAACATTCCAGATTTTCGTTTTCCCTAAATGTGTTTCACTTTTTGTTTTTATACTTATTTAAGCTAGTTTTATTTATGTAAAGTTCATGCCTACGCATTTTTAGCTGAATATACAGAACTTTTAGTAAACTAATGTTCTAAAGTTCAAATAAATAAATAAATAAACAAATAAAATTATGAATTCCTCTTTGCGATGCATCAATTTTAAAATTCTACATTCTACATTCAATCAACCGATCCGATAGCAGCTCTGTTAAAGTGGAAAGCAAAATTTTCAAATTGTTGATGAATTAATTTTTTTATTCGAAAATTTTAATTAAATATTGTTCTTTTAAACCTCTCACTGCATTTATTTTTTAGGATTGGTTATGAGTGCCAAGATTTCAACACTGGTATGCGAACAAGGCTTAGAACTCTTTAAGCTATGTGACTTCTATAGCCACTGAATAAATGCAAGAACTGGTGTATGTCTATGCCATCTTCAACCGACGTCTGCTCAACCTCTATCAGATCTTCCACTTTTATCTTAGGTTTTCCAGGACAATATGTTCATAAAATGGAATCGTGCATCCAGCTCCCTTGTTAGCCCAGTCTCTTCTTAGGTTCATAAATGTGTACATAAAAATCAGACAGTGAATGATTTTCATCTATAAGACAGTTTCAATGGTACGTATATTGGAATCCCAAAGGACAGCTCTAACGTCCGAGACAGTTTCATTTTTTGTTAATGAAATAATGATCATAGTTTTGTATAATAGTTTTGTAAATAAATTCATTTTTTCGAATGTGCAGTTCATAATTACTAGATTCTTTTACATAATGCTACGCATCTTCGTTCACATTAACAGTAAGGTTGTAGGAATCCTCACTTTTATCTCTATTAACTAAGTGTTGAGGAATCTAGAGAACTTGTAAGATTTATCCTAAGTTTTTAACAGTTACTCACTTTTATCTCTATTAATTAAGTGTTCAGGAAGCTAGAGAATTTGTAAGGTTTATCCTAAGTTTTTAACAGTTACTCACTTTTATCTCTATTAATTAAGTGTTCAGGAAGCTAGAGAATTTGTAAGGTTTATCCTAAGTTTTTAACAGTTACTCACTTTTCCTCACTTTTATCTTTGTTAACTAAGTGTTGAGGAAGCTAGAGAACTTGTAATGTTTATTTAAGTTTTTAACAGTTACTCACTTTTCCTCACTTTTATCTCTGTTAACTAAGTGTTGAGGAATCTAGAGAACTTGTAAGATTTATCCTAAGTTTTTAACAGTTACTCACTTTTATCTCTATTAATTAAGTGTTGAGGCAGCTAGAGAATTTGTAAGGTTTATCCTAAGTTTTTAACAGTTACTCACTTTTCCTCACTTTTATCTTTGTTAACTAAGTGTTTAGGAAGCTAGAGAACTTGTAAGGTTTATTTAAGTTTTTAACAGTTACACACTTTTATCTCTGCTAACTAAGTGTTGAGGAAGCTAGAGAACTTGTAAGGTTTGTCCTAAATTTTTAACAATTACTCACTTTTCCTGACTTTTATCTCTGTTAACTAAGTGTTGAGGAAGCTAGAGAACTTGCAAGGTTTGTCCTAAATTTTTAACAGTTACTCACTTTTCCTCACTTTTACCTCTGTTAACTAAGTGTTGAGGAATCTAGAGAACTTGTAAGATTTATCCTAAGTTTTTAACAGTTACTCACTTTTATCTCTATTAATTAAGTGTTGATGAAGCTAGAGAATTTGTAAGGTTTATCCTAAGTTTTTAACAGTTACTCACTTTTCCTTACTTTTATCTTTGTTAACTAAGTGTTGAGGCAGCTAGAGAATTTGTAAGGTTTATCCTAAGTTTTTAACAGTTACTCACTTTTCCTCACTTTTATCTCTGTTAACTAAGTGTTGAGGAAGCTAGAGAATTTGTAAGGTTTATTTAAGTTTTTAACAGTTACTCACTTTTATCTCTGTTAATCAAGTGTTGAGGAAGCTAGAGAACTTGTAAGGTTTGTCCTAAATTTTTAACAGTTACTCACTTTTCCTGACTTTTATTTCTGTTAACTAAGTGTTGAGGAAGCTAGAGAACTTGCAAGGTTTGTCCTAAAATTTTAACAGTTACTCACTTTTCCTGACTTTTATTTCTGTTAACTAAGTGTTGAGGAAGCTAGAGAACTTGTAAGGTTTATTTAAGTTTTTAACAGTTACTTACTTTTATCTCTATTGACTAAGTGTTGAGGAAGCTAGAGAACTTGTAAGGTTTATCCTAAATTTTTAACAGTTACTCACTTTTCCTCAGTTTTATCTCTGCTAACTAAGTGTTGAAGAAGCTAGAGAACTTGTAAGGTTTTTCCTAAATTTTTAACAGTTACTCACTTTTCCTCACTTTTATCTCTGTTAACTAAAGTATTGAGAAAGCTAGAGAACTTGTAAGGTTTATCCTAAGTTTTTAGCAGTTACTCACTTTTCCTTACTTTTAACTCTATTAACTAAGTGTTGAGGAAGCTAGAGAACTTGTAAGGTTTATCCTAAGTTTTTAACAGTTACTCACATTTTCTCACTTTTACCTCTATTAACTAAGTGTTGAGGAAGATAGAGAACTTGTAAGGTTTATCCTAAGTTTTTAACAATTACTCCCTTTTATCTCTTTTAACTAAATGTTGAGGAAGCTAGAGAACTTGTAAGGTTTATCCTAAGTTTTAACAGTTAACAGTTTGTAAGGTTTATCCTAAGTTTTAACAGTTAACAGTTTTAATAGTTATCTCTATTAACTAAGTGTTGAGGAAAGTTCATCCTAAGTTTTTAACAGTCACTCACATTTCCTCACTTTTACCTCTATTAACTAAGTGTTGAGGAAGATAGAGAACTTGTGAGGTTTATACTAAGTTTTTAACAGTTATCTTATCAGGTTCAATGTTCCTTCTAATCTTCTTCGAGAACATACAAGGACCTGACTCGGAACAGAGAGCTTACTAAAGCTATGTTCACTAATTGTGGTAAGTAGACAGGATACAGACGAAGGGTATACAAAACCCTTTATTTTTTCTCTATATACAATAACTTCCGTACTTCGGAATACAATGACCCGCCACTCAGGGTCTAACGTAAAAGTATAAAAATAAAACTAAACTCTAATTTAACTTTAGAATAATACACGTGGAAGATTGGCCTTATAATAACAGGAAGCGTATGTAGCACAGAGACTGTGAACACTACAATACGTTTAATTTATCAAGAGGATTAAAACCTCTGGCCTGGAAGGCAAACAGCAACTGCGTAACTTCTAAGGTAAGCGGCCTGCGTTGACTCACTGCTTCTCTCTTTCGCTTGGCAAAAAGGCCACACTTAAATACTTGGCGTTCGCCAGACAAACTTTGCATAAAATCCTTCACGCTTATAATTCTGGCCGGAAGTAGAAAATAAGAAGTGATAGTAAAGATTTAAAATAAAATAAACGTTAGTAAAACTTAAGATCCTTACAATCTTTAGTTAAAACTACTCTCCTGTCCCTCCTAATTTCATCTTACAATTTCGTACCAGAATGTGTTTCTAGAATCGCGGTTAATGCAAATGAGTAAGAGGGCTATTTAAGTCGAAGTTCCACTGACTTCATTAGAGAGCCAGAAATTCTGACTAGTGCGCCTTGTGGCTACACTCTCTCTCCAAGCTATTACTGCGCTCGGCCTTTGTTTCAGGCCCTTGATAGCTCCAGCTTAGTTGATATTTAGGGGCCAACTACTTATAAATCTTGATAGCTTCGGCTATACCTTTTTAGTTAAGCATTAGTATTTAAGTTTTACTTCTTATTACTTTAAGTTCAAGCCCAAGGGGAAGCTTTGTTGTACGCTCTGAAGGAGCCATCTTTTAAGTTCTTATTTTGAGAAATAAAGGTAATTAACCCCTCTTTTAGCTGTTAGATAAAAGGTTGAAACTTCTAAGCGAATAATCGCTTAAGTCCACAAAGAGAAATGTAGACTCACGAAGAGTTAGTTATTCTTTATTGCTCAAAATAAAGACGTATAGATGGTCCCTTTCCTAGAACGTACAACAAAGCCTCCGCTTCGGCTTAAACTAAAAAATGTAAGAAATAAGAACTTAACTAATGACTAACTAAAGAGATTTAGCCGAGGCTAACACAATTTCTAACCAGTTGGTGCCTAATATTAAATTAGCTAGTAATACGGCCGAGCGTAGTAGGAGCTAAGAGCGACGTAGCCAAAAGGCAAACGCGCGTTATTCAGGAAATCTAATTCTCTCTGTCGAAGTCAATGAAGTTTGACTTTAATACTCTCTACTACTCATTTGCATTTAACGCGATTCTAAAAACTCATTCTGGTAAGGAATTGTAAGTTGAAACTACACTCATGTCCATAAATTAAGGATAATGCAAAATCAGGCAAAGGAAGAGTTAGAAGAAAAACAAATTTGACTTATTTGTAAAGCTTATTTATTAAAAAAAAGGTAAAGAGCAAAAAAAAGATGCTATATGTTTGATATTTTTAAAAAAAATTAACGATTTTTTCTCCCTGGAGCAAATTACAAAAAAACCTATTTACAAAGAAAAACAATATTACATGGTTGGTATGATTGTTAATACATTGTATGTCTCCCAGACGATGCAATACAGTCTGTACAACGCCTAGGGATGCTGAGTATCAAATTATCGATCTGGTCTTGGGGCATATTACACCACTCAAAAAGCAATGCTCTCCGAAGTTCCGGTAGACATGTAGGAGGAGGTTGACGGGCTGCAACTTGTCGGCCAAGCATGCCCCACACGTGCTCTACTGGATTCAAGTCCGGTGAGAATGCTGGCCAGTTCATACGGGTGATATACTCCGATTGAAGGCATTCGCTTACAATGTTTGCACGGTGAGGACGGGCGTTGTCATCCATAAATACAAATTGTGCGCCCCGAAACAAACGTACATGTTGTTCCAGAATGACGTCCCGATAGATTTGGCTTGTCATGGTTCCAATTTGAACATGCAGGTCAGTTCTGGAACCCAGAATAATTCCACCCCAAACGAGCACTCCTGCACCGTAACGGTGTCGTTCAATGATGTTTTCTTGGTGGTAACGGGTACCTGGAGCTCTCCATATGAAAGTCCGGCGAGAAACAGACTGCAAGCTAAACCTGGACTCGTCGGAAAACATCACACAAACCCACTGTTGGATTGTCCACAATGCATGCTCTCGACTCGAGGCTAACCGCAGGCGACAGTGAGTTGCAGTAAGTGGAACGCATCTGACAGGTCTACGAGCATATAGACCAATCTGCCCTAAGCGTCTGTACACGGTCTGCCTTGAAATTGTCGTACCAGTGGCTGAAGAGAGCTGACGAGACAGGTCTGAGGCTGTCCTCCGCCTGTTTCTTTTGGCAGTAACTGCCAAATACCGGTCCTCATTCGGCGTTGTAACTCTGGGGCGACCTGTGCTGTAACGTCTTCTCACATTACTATTATCTTGGAATCGTTGCCAAAGCCTGGAGATGACACTTTGGGCATTTCCAAGTTCGTCTGATACTTCCAGTTGGGTACACCCACATTCCAGACGGCCGATAATTCTACCACGTAAAAAATCATCCAAATGCGTCCTTTGTGTCATAACTATTCGGTTATTGCACTGAAATGCTTATAAAGCGCCTGCGAACAATTTTACTTCTTTGCATGTATTCCTTATATATCACTCTCTTACACTCTTGTCATTGTGACGTACCATCGGTGTCATATGGTTACTTTCTGGAATTTGCATATGATTCTTGAAGATGTGTGTAGTGACTTTACAGGTGATATATTTATTTTAGAG